ATATTCCTCCTATAAAATTTATAATTTAGGAGAGGATCTAAGGAAAAAAGAATTTTTAGTTTAAATATATATATATATATATATATATTTATTTATTTATTTATTTATTTTTAGTACAATACATGGGTGGAGATCAAACTTACAACCTTTTAGTTAGAGATATATATCAATAACTATGCTCACTTTGACTTCTACAAATATATTTAACTTGGATATTCAGTGTGTGCATGCATGCACCCATGTGAATTTTATTTTTAAAAAAATCATCAAGCTTCTTTTAATGTTTGAGTGGAAAGTTTTATTACATGAAAATTGCTCTCTTGTAATTTTCATTATACTTATTATAAATATATTATTATGCTCATTCGATCATGATCTTGTGGATAACAAAAAAAAATTAATGGGTTAAAATAAGACAACCGTAATTATAATCTTTGAAATATAATTTTCTTTTTAAAGTTCAAATCAACCTTTTATCATTCCTCCGGTTGAATTTCTATCCTTTGATCATATAGTCAATAATAATAATAATAATAATAATAATAATAATAATAATTATTATTATTATTATTATTATTATTATTATTATTATTATTATTATGTTTGCATTTGAAAATTCAATGGAGGTGTGATATTTTCACTTATATTTTGGCTTAAATTGTGTATAAAGGTTCATTAATGTGAAAATTCCAATACGGGGTATAGTATATAGAAAGATAAAAAGATATATTGAAAAGTTTGATGGAAAATTATAGAAATGGGATGTATGAATGATTATTCCAAGATTGCGTAGGAACCCATCGCCATAGCACACAGCCAGCATCTAAAATGCTTAATTAAAGTTGTATTTCATATATAATAAAGTTAAAATAAAAATTTTAATTTAGACATAAAAATTGTAGAACGAAATAAACTTAAACATGATCGACCAAACAAAACAAAAAAATCGTTTTTTAAAAGATAGATCTAAGAGCGGAGTAATGATAGGATGCATAATTGAGAAAGAGAAATTTTATTAAATCGATTTCGTAAAAGTGATCTAAATACAAGTTATTTTATGTTTAGTTTGACGTGCATTCATGATGATTTCCAATCTAACTTTAAGAGATGATAACATTAGATAGGATCGAGTTTGAGAACGAGCTCGATAGGAAAAGCTATGACCTGCCCAAAAGAAGCAAGTATTGTGACGTTCAAATTAGTAAAAGATCAATCTTTAAGTCTCAAGTCAAATTTAAATGAGTTAGAATGATGTCTTTATTTATAGGTAAAGATCGTATAGGAGTATTCAAACATTCGACTTTACTGTCGGGAAGTCTATTGCACAAGGTCGGTTTGTCGGATTCCTAATGCTTGAGTTTGACTTTGCCTCCAACCAAAGTTTAACCGAGCTTACTAATCGTCTCTTGGTTGAGCTTCAAGGTGGCTACGTTGGTTCTCCGAGAGGAAAGATCTTTATACGCTAGTTTTTCCTAACTATACACGTGGCAAGTCCATTTGTATCCTCAACTATCATGATTTTCATATTACTAGAAGTAATTATAAATTTTTAATGTTTGGGTTTAAAAATGAGTTTAAAAGGACATTAAATTTGAGAAATTATTTAATTAAACCGTCATTTAAAATCAAGATAAATTTTTGTAGGGAGACAATTAGGGCTGAGAATAACTATCCTTTTAATTTTAAGAACCATTTCAATATTCACATAGGAATCAAATCGGGGTAAATTCTTTAGAGCGTAATCACCATCCAATTGTTACCTCAAAAATTAATTTTAAACGATCATAAAATTTTCTAAAATTAATTTCTTGTTTGCCAAACACAATCATTTGGGAGTGATTTATCYGGCGATCATACTTTGAACGATCCCAACAAGCTCACCTAAGGCTTTCCAAAGTTGATCCTTATTATTTCCGAAAAGTTAAATTAATTTTGCTGGGAAGATTTAGCGATCCAGTTTTTGAAGCTCAAAATTCTACAGAGTCGGTTTCAGAGCAGTGGCATCGGCCGGAGTTTTGATCTTCAGTTGGGTCGAACTTGGACTGATTAGGTTGTTAAAGTCCACATATGACATTTTTTTTCTTCTTCGGGTCCTTTTAATTTGTTCAATCTTTTCATGATTCTATGAATGGAAAATCTAAGATACTATCTTTACTAATGATTTGGGAAATTATAAATAAGGGATAACAATAAAGAAATCAAATGATTGCTTTCGTAAATGACTTATTTTTCTTTTTTTTTTTTTAATATGAAAGGTTCTTTCATGATATTTTTCTTTGTTTTTCGATCTATTTTTTATGTGTTAAATCTCGTGAAATTTGAAAATTGGTTTCACTTGATAAGTCTCTCAATTTCTTTTTAGTTTTTATCCTTTCATTTTTTTTTTTGAAAAAGTAGGGTGTTTGGTAATTTACCCTTTTTGAGTTAGATAAGTATTAATTTTTTCTTTTTTGAGTACTAAAGAAAAGTRTTAACCTAAATCAATGTTTTCAATTTGTTAGTTTTTTCATTTATAACAAGATAATTTTAAATGTTAATGTGGATAAAAATGTTGAGGTCTTAATTTTATGAGAATCTCGATAGACATATCAATAAAATCGATGTCGATAAATATTTTTAGAAAAGTTATAAAATAAAAATTCGTAAAAAGTATTTAAATTAMCATTTGAGAATTTCGTCATTTATAAATAACTTTAAAATAATTAATATTAATATTATATGTATATTAGTAAGATTTTGTTTTTTTTTTATATTTTGTTGATTCTTTTTTGTAGAATTATGAAAATATTGATTTACTCTTCATGTTGATGTCGAACACATGGATATTTAATACCATAGTCTGTAGTAACATATTTTAATTCTTGAAAAAAAAGATCGATGTAAACTTTATATGAAAAATTAAATTGTCACGATCGATACCTTTTTAAAAGTAGATTATGGAATAAATAAATGAAATATTATTTATTATTATTATTTTTATCTGTGAATGTCCAGGCCAACTTAAACGCACCTCGATTAATCTCGCGAGGTAACTGCCTGATYTATATTGAGATAATGTCTTAGATAAGCTATTTTAGAAATTTATTTTCACAAATGTCCAATGTTTACAAAATTTTACAGTCTYAGATTCCTGGAGTTAAATTTTTTTACAAATGTCAAATTTGTCCTTATTTTGGCATTTATATTTATTATAATTACTCTTTTATTTAAATACAAAAGATTAATATTCTAAATTTGATTTGGTAAACATTAGATTATCATGAGACCTAAATCAATTATTCTCATAATCCCTTAATTTACTCCTTAATATATTCAATGAAATTTATTACAAAATATTCAATTATTCTCATAATCCCAAAATTTACTCCTTAGTATATTCTACTAAATAATGAAATTTATTACAAAATATTGTTTTATTTCATTACAATTTTTGGCCAAATTTCAATACTATAGTCATTATAATATACACTTTTATATATATATATATATATATATATATAGATATAGATATTTATTTATATATATGGAGATATAAACTATATCCGGTCATTATAACATAAACTTATATTGAGATATAACCTAGATATGGTTATGGAGTATATATTATCCCTYTACAATTAACAAACAAAGCAAATAGTCTACAAACCTTCCGATCAACGACTAGGTAATGGTCAGGATAAGCGGAGGGCACGAATGGCCAACGGGCGGCCGACGACAAAAAAGATGCCTCGGGATAAATGGACGAAAATAGTGGACGGGTAGCCGGAGACGAAGGAGAAGCTAGATGAATTGTTCCAACGACAAAGAAGAACAGAGACGGCAGCCGGGGACGAAGGAACGCAGACGACGGCTGGAGATGAAGGAATGGAAACAGAAAGAGGAAGAAGAAAATTTGGAGGAAGGAGGTTTTTGAATTTTTTCAATAATGGAGGATTTTGAACATTTGATATTTTTTTACTTTTGGAAAGTTTAATTAGGCCAAACTTTAAGGGATTTAAAATCTCCCAATTAACCAATTTTGGATTTTAAATTAATTAATATTGAATTGTAGATACAAAGGACATATTAGTAAATTGGGTGATGGGACCATTTTAAATAAGATTATTTTATGACAAAAGTGTAAATTTTATACGTTGAATTATAGTTTCTAAATATAGTCTATCAATATATTAATCCTTTCAATACTTTGCAATTAATAATTTTTTAGTTGGTGGCCATCATGGCAACCTTATCAAACATCATTTAAAAAAGATAGAGAAACTAAAAACGTAGGACAACCTTATCAAATAAGTGCAATATTAACATTTTACTTTTAGTTCAAAAAGTTGGCAAATTTCTCTATTTTGTATAGTTTGGGTTGTTCTTGTTTCGGAATTTGGACTGGGCCTTACTGCCCAGCATAAGTCCTCTAGTTATGGGCTCGTTTGAAGGCCTTATAAATGGACCAAAATCCTGGTACATCTACAGACATCGTTACGCATGCAGTGGGCTAACATTTTGAAAGTTTATCTCATTTTAAAATAATTAATTTCGTCCCATATTTAAATTTAGTTTCTTTTTGTTCGTTTTTATTTTTACCACAAATGTAAGATTGACGATTCACCTTCGACTCCCAAAAAGATAATTCGGTACCTTAACAAATCGAATTGGCCAAATGTTGGTTTCAATATAATGAAATTAAGAGTTTATAATTTTTCTCTTTAAATGATAAGAGTATATTCGTTTCAATATAATGAAATTATAATGAAATTAAGAGTTTATAATTTTTCTCTTTAAATAATAAAAGTATATTCGTTTCAATATAATGAAATTAAGAATTTATAATTTTTCTCTTTAAATAATAAGAGTTTATATATACACATTTTTTT